ACAATGATTAGTGATCTAAATTTTACTATTGTCTGAGATAATAGGAAACAATCTATCCACGTAACATTGGCATCCCCGGCTAGCATCATTTGGGAGTAAATTTCTCTTACTATTATACAAACATTCATATATACACTAATTATTTCATTCTTCCAAGCATACATTATTTTTTATGAGATATTTTGTATTTATCTACCAATAAATAAATGCACATCTACTAGAATCAAAATATCATGCAATGATCTAATAACTTCATAGAAAAATTATTATGCAACTATTTATCATGATATTTTCCCATCTCACAATATGAAAAATCTGTTGTAACTTAAATAACACTAGAATAGAGCATAAATGAAATCAAGAATATATTTATAAATAAGAAATATTTCTAAACTTTAAAAATATAATTAATCACCTTAACCTTGCTCGAAAATAAATATTACAATTTTCCTATCTTACAATGAATCAATTTTAAATCCTGATTCCTATTAATAATTAATATGATCTAACATTAATATGATCATAAACATCAAATTTAACTTAATAAATTTAAAACTTTAATTTCATTTACCTTAAATATTTTCCTTCGTCGTTGTCTATTCTCCTTGTTTCAAACCACATCATTCATTCTCTATTTTTTCTTATTTTTGTCATTAATTCATAAAACAATAATCATTATGATTCAAAGAAATATGTTAAATTCCAAAATAATAATTAAACCCTATGCTTCGTTGACTTAAACTTCTTCCTCTGTTGCACAAAAATTGGTCTCGATTTCTCCCAATCTTTTAACTTAATTACTTGTCAAATTTAATCATTGTTATTAATTCATAAAATTTAATATTAACTTAATAACAATTTTTATCAAAATAATTTATAAAATTAAAAATATAAAACCCATAAAAGAAAACACTCACCTCTTCCCTTCTCTCTAATGCCTCTCAGATCCCCTTCTTCCCTCTTCTCCTTCCCTTCACACTAGAAGCAATCAAACCTTCCATAAGCAAGAAATGAGCACCATCACTATGATAGCAGTGTCTTCCTTCTTCACAAGCGTACGCGTTTGAAGTTGACAGTAGGACTGTAAATGAGTCGAGCTTGAGCAAGCTCATGTTTGGCTTATGTTCGGCTTGTTTGAAATCGATCGAGTTGGAAATCGACTTGTGTTCGAAATTGGCTCGTGAACAGTGTGTTCGTGTTTGGCTCGTATTCGGCTCGAAATTGACTCATTAAAATTAATTTTTAAAAATAGATGTAGAGTGTTGAATTTGAATATGTATCAAATTTATGCAAATATAAGACACATAAGTACATTACCACATGAGTTGCTATGATCTAAACTTAGATATAAATATAAATAATATATATAATATTTTTTATATAAATAATTATATGATTTTTCTTATGGATAAAAAAAGCCAAACGTGCAAGCCGAATATGAGCAAACAAAGAGTTGTTCTTGTTCGGCTCGTTTATAATTCGAGCTTATAAAAATTACTCGCGTTTGACGAGTCGAACACGAGCTGTTCGCGAACAACAAGC